AGGTGTTTTGTTTTATTTTCTTTTTAACTCGTGGAAATTGATGCTTTTGGATTTTTTTTAAATTTTTATTACTTTTTATGTGTGTACCGTCAAATTGGATCTGACTGGTACAGGAGGAGATTGCCCCTCCTTCTCCAGCAGAGCATCTGGTGGATTTGAACCACATACGTCTGGGATTGCAGTGCAACTTCTTGCCTCTAGTCCACTAAGAGCTCACCTGATGCTTTTGGATTTTAATAGTTTAAACTCTTACGATAGGTGTTTTTTCACATTTCTTCCTGGCCTGTTGCAGCCTGGGGCGTTCCACCAGCCCTCCTACAGGGCTGCCCAAAGTACATCTTCTTAAGCTAACTGTTTAAATTAGTGAAATTGAATGTAGAACCCGCACCTGTGCGGGGGGGGGGGAGTGATGCTTTACAGGTTCCTGATGATTCACCTGCTCGTGCACTTTCTTCCTTTGCCCCCGACTCCCGTCTGGCTTCCGCACAGATGCAAGATGGTGGTGTCGGGCCAGGGCCTGCGGTCAGTCTTCCTCCTGTCGCGGGGGCGGGCCGCGCAGGCGCACTGCTGCTCGCCCGCGGAGTGGGGCGGACTGCGCAGGCGCACTCCTCCAGGCCCGGCTCGCCGCGCAGGCGCGCACCTCCTCGCCCGGCGCCGGGCGGCCCGCGCCTGCGCAGTGAACGAGGTCTCGCGGCGCCCGTGGGCCGTAAGGTGGCTGCGGTGACGGGGTGAGGGCGGCCGGGGTCCCTGGCTCGTTTAAGATGAGGCTTTTGCTGCTTCTCCTGATGGCGGCGTCCACAGTGGTCTGGAGCGAGGCCTCGGCCAATCTGGGCGGCGTGCCCAGCAAGAGATTAAAGATGCAGTACGCCACGGGCCCGCTGCTGAAATTCCAGATTTGGTGAGTGTGTCCAGCGGACCCTCGGCGGCCCAAACTGCGGCCGCGGCCCTCCCTCCCTGCTGCTCTTGGCATGGCTTCGCGCTTGGTTGGCTCCTGGAGTGGGGGGAATGGGCAGTGGGGTGCGAGAAGGCGAGGCCTGGGACGGCGAGGGGTCCTCGGGGCGGGCGGAGCTGGGATGAGTCGGCGCCTTGTCGCGGAGCTCGGGTGCTCCGCGCCGGGTCGTCGTTCCCCGGGGTCCCGGCCTCCCGGCCGCGCGGGCTGGACGCCGGTGCCGGCCTTTTCCGGGCCCTGATATCAGCGTTTCCGTCCTCTCCCGGCCGCGAACCCCGCTGGGCTGACACCGGGGCCGGCCTTTCCCAGGCCCTCCGGTGGCTGCAAAGCTGTGGCTACAAAGTGTCTTCGTTCTCTCGGCCGGGCACCCCGCTGGGTGGACACTGGTGCTTGCCTTTCCCGGGCCCTGCGGTGGCTGCTGTGCGAATGGCCGCGCACCCTGCTGGGTGGACGCTGGGGCCGGTCTTTCCCAGGCTCTGCGGTCAGCGTTTCTGTCCTCCTGGCCTTCAACTCTGCTGGGTGGACGCCGGTGCCGGCCTTTCCCAGGCTCTGCCGTGGCCGCAGGTCACCGTCCTCCCAGTTGCGCACCCCGCTGGGTGGACCCCGGTGCCGCTCTTTCCCAGGCCCTGCGGTGGCCGCAGAGCGAGGGCCGGGGCTCGGCGCCGAGGCACGGGTGCAGCCGTCCAGGCCTCTCTCGGCTGGCTGTCTCCGAGAGTTGGGGAAGCAGCAGCGCGCCCCTAAACCTGGCTGTCTCGGGCCCTTCCCCAGCCTCGCTTCCTCCCTTGAGTCTCCCAGTCTCCCAGCTCTCAGGACGCACTCTTGTTCAAGTCTAGGTGGGTAAAATGATAATTGCCTCCACCCACTGAACATTGTTCAGTAAGAGGTCTGGTTAAACGTGAGAAGCAGGACAGTTGTAGGCAAGTGGGCTCCAGTTTCTAATAACTTGGACTTTAGCCCGTTGCTTTCAAGTAAATTCACAATATGAGCATGCGAAATGTTAAAAGGGGGGGGAGGGCAAAGAAGCCTAAGGTGACCTCTAAGCCAGAGAGAAAATTAGATGGTGAGATTTTAGTTACGCAATAAAAGCCAGAACACCTTCCTAACTGAAAAGCAAACAGAAAACCTAGCTCTCTGTAGTGTTTGTTATGTGCCTGGTGAATAGCATTTTACATCATCACATAAATGATTTGACCATTCTGGAGGTGTTTTGTTTTATTTTCTTTTTAACTCGTGGAAATTGATGCTTTTGGATTTTTTTTAAATTTTTATTACTTTTTATGTGTGTACCGTCAAATCGGATCTGACTGGTACAGGAGGAGTTTGTCCCGCCTCCTTCGGCAGAGCATCTGGTGTATTTGAACCACATACGTCTGGGATTGCAGTGCAACTTCTTGACTCTAGTCCACTAAGAGCTCACCTGATGCTTTTGGATTTTAATAGTTTAAACTCTTACTAATTAGGTAATTTTTCTATGTTTTACTTGCCTTAGTTTGACTTCTCCCTGTACTCTCCTTAGAGGCAAGAGTGGTAAAATCCTGCCACACACTTTGGGCATGTTGTCAGGAGGGGACAGTTCTTGGAAAAAGACTTGGCTGGGAAAGGTTGTGGTGGTGATGGTGGTGGTGGAGGGGTGTTAACGGGCTGTTGAGTCAGACTCACAGCAACCTTGTGAACAGCAAATCCTAACCCTGTCGTATCCTGTGCCATCCTCGCACTTCCTGAAAGGCTAGAGGCCACGAGCAGTCACTGTGTCAGTTCATCTGCTTGAGGGTCTTCCTTTCCTTCATTAACCCTCCATCTTTCCAGTAATGCTGTCCCTCTCCAAGGAATAGCCTCTCCTAGCAACGTTCCTGAAGTATGTGAGGCGAAGCTTTGTCGTCTTTGCCTCGAGAGAGCACTCTGGCTGCACCTTCTCTAAGAGGCATTTGCTTGTTCTTTTGGCAGTCAGTGAGATCGTCAGCGCTCTTTTCCACCACCACTGATGCTCACAGGCATCAGTTCTTCTGTCATCCTTATTCATTGTCCAGCACTCAGATGCATAGCAAATGATCAGAAAGACTATGTCTGAATCAGATGCACCTTTCTCCATCCCTACTGTAAAAAGTTGTAGAGGTGGAAAAATAGGGAGACTCGGTAAGATGATCGTTCAGTTATTGTAACAGTGAGCCTGAGGGTTCAAAGATGGTGAGGGTGCTATGGGAGATGGAACAATAGATACCTTCTTAATAGTGTTTCTACCAGTGGTCACTATGTGGCACTTGACAACAACAATCTTTATTTTGTGTTTGGTACTTTGGGGGGAGGGGTGTTACAAATACTTTGCAGGTTTTTGGGTTTTTTTACTCTTTTGCAAAGTTGTGTGTGTATGTGTGTGTATGTGTTTTTCTCCTGGTTAATCTGAGTATGCCATTAAGCAAGGTGCTTCAGGGCTTTAAACTGGTTCTTGCTAAAGATTTGCTGAGAACTTGGCCTTTGCACATAGATACTCTAAATCAGTCTGTAGTTTAACATGCACATGAAGAATCACCTGGAGGTCTGTTATTAAAAATGTACGTTCTGGGCCTCACCTCATATTTGAAGCAGAGAGGTCCATCCCTTTGGGGCTGTAACGTTCCAGTTACCTAAAAATAAAAAGAAAATGCACATTGTGATTCTGTATATTTGGAATGGAAATGCATCTTCTCAGCAGTTGAACCATGTGGAAGTCCTTGTTTTATTTACATGCCCTATGTAATACAGATAAATAGACTTGGCTATCATTCCTGGGGTTTGCTCCCTCCCTAAGGGAGTGTCTGTATGTTAGCTGCCATGGAATCAACTCCAGTTTATGAAACCCTGTCCCATCCAGCTCTGTCCTTAAGTCTGTCCCGCTGCAGTTGCTGTGTCACTCTCCATTTTGTTGAAAATATTCTCGTCCTTGGGTTGGTTGGTTGGTTGGTTATTTATTTATGTATGTATGTATGTATGTGTGTGTGTGTGTGTGTGTGTGTGTGTGTGTGTGTGTGAGTGTACCGTCAAATCAGATCTGACTGGTACAGGAGGAGAGTGACCCTCCTTCCCCGGCAGAACATCTGGTGGATTCAAACCGTGCACCTCTGCGATTGTAGTTGCAGCTCCTTACCACTAGGCCACCAGAGCTCCCCTGGGTTTTGGTTTTGATTGAACCTCTTGGACATTCACTTACAAATTTGGTAAAGAATAGGAAAGAGGAGACTTTGAAGAAAATAAATGAAAATCCTTTTCTACCTTTCAAACCTATTTTAAACCAGAGCACTATAAAATAATTTTTCCCTTAATCACCACTATTAACAATGAGGATGATTTTTACCCTTTTTTTGGTCCTTTTTTATATTGTGCATAAGTATTTCTTTAGATAATTGATAACTCTACTACCTCTGCAATTGCAAGTGAAACAGAACACCAACTTAACACACAAACAGAATTTTAAGGGAAAGGAGCAAACTTGAATGGCCTAAAACAAGCTTTGTATTGTGTTCATGTAGCAGGGATTAAAGATATATGATCAGGACAGGTATGGCAGCTCCAAAAGCCTACAGAAATATAATGTTATTCTCCATATCTTGTCTTTGGTTGAGTATGCAAGTTGATTGGGTAGTAGAATGAAATGATTTTGATGTTTTTTACTGTACTAAAAGTCTGGTTTTATAATTTAAATAATAGCCAGTATGTATGGAGAACTTTGCAGTGTAAGAATACTTTTTACATTTTACTTTTAAGTCTTGTAAAGTGGCAATATTTTTCTCATATAACATGCCCAATTTTAGAATTATTATTGACAAATATCATTACATAGAACTATGCTACTTGGAAATTCTTAATTGACTTTTGACATATATTGATTATGCATAAAGTAATATTTAACATATTTTTAAGCAGAAAATAATATATCAAAAGATACTTCATAGTGCTTTGTGGCTCTCAGATCCATCCTCTGAGCTGTTGGTGGTATTTTCTGTTTTTTCATTCTTTACTGTGACATATAACTGACTTTAATAGTCAAGCAGCTTCATAATCCTTTATTCTGCCGGTAAAACCTTGGGGAATTGAAAGCTTTCTTTCATTCTGTATTCTTTAAAATCAAACTAGCATTGGTTCTGCTACTGTAAAAGTCTCCAGAATTTGTGAAGTGAAACAGATTTTATGTTTATTCAGACTTTTATTCTGCTTATTCAGACTTTTAAACATTGGACAATTATGAAGTTCTCTAATCAGAGCTAACATAAAGTTCTCACATCACATTATTCTTGTGATTTTTATTTTTTTAATTTTTTTTCTTGTGATTTTTAAATGTATTCTGAATTTGGAATCTTCTGTTCAGCTCTTTAGTATCTTGAATTCTTCCTTGTGCTTTGGCTTCTCTACGCTCCAGTGCAATCTTCAGAGTTTCTTCTGACATCC